TTTTTTTTTTTTTTTTTTTTTTTTTGTGTACAAGAGAACACACCCTAGTATATAATTTTATATTCACCAATTGAACTCTTCTCCAATATAATTTGTATTTTAACATTTCTTAGAGATCAACTATATATAGAGAAATTTCAACATTACTTAGTTCATATTTCATGGCTACATTTATTGTCACTTCCACAGATCAAAAATTCAAAATACGAATTCTTGATGCCAAAAAATTGTTTAATGCAATACAATAACAAAGTACGAGTGCCCTTATTACAATCAACCTTAAATTTATTCCACCATCATAATTAAAACCCCAACTTCAAAATATAACTGCAAAAGATTTGTTCATCCATGATAGTGTTGGCCTGGTTGCCAGTTTGCCGGAATCACATTATTCGCAATGTATGTTACTTTGGACTCGATTGTTGTTATTTTCACAGAAAACGGACCACCTATACCATTAGATAGGTTAACTTTCCATGTCACGCCCCAAACGCGTTGCATGTTGAGCCATCCTTTCGAACTTGGAGAAGATATTTGTACTGCACCAATGTCACCGTCTCCATTAACATCCTCTATTGCGAACGCCATATAATTTGGAGTAGAGCCCTTATCGATCTTAAACGTTATCGGTGTACTATAAGAGCACCTGATCCTGCTTAAATCAAATATATAATTATTAAATCACTTTACTTTTACACAACTACTTATAAAAATCATTAGATACTCGAAAAAAGCCAAAACACAAAAAAAAATTAGTAATAATAAATAATGAAATAAATTAAACACCTATTTTCTTGAAATGTTGAATGTGATAAACATACATATGACATTAATATAGTATCACTGGTCGACCCAACTAGCTATCAGTTAGGCTGAATTTTTGAAAACCAAAACACAAGTTACCTTTGATATTGGATATTTATTTTTCCCAATGACCGTAATTTATCTTGGCCAGGTTTGGCTAAGGCTCCAATGGCTTTACCGCTCAAGTCGAAGTGAACAGGGGCACCATTGCAGCCCGGACATTCATCTGTAATTGTTACACTTACAGGATTCCTTGAGCATGCAGGGTCCCCTGTGCATTTTACCTTCAAACAAACAAAAAATACTCTTGTTAAGTTCAATTTACCATCACCTTGTGCTAAGCAAATAATTAATTTCAACCAGTGCTCGATCTTGTGCACCCGCCTGCACAGATGTATATAAAATATTACCTGATAACAACTTCCACAACCCGCTCCGGATTTGAATAAAAAGTTGTTTCCAGCAGATATCATGCCATTGTAAGGAGGCCCAGCCACATCATCTGCAAAACCACAAGCTCCACCTGCAAATTAAAGACAACATGGTTCGACTGATCATATATGGATTAGTATTTTAATAAATTCAGTAAAAAATAGTATGAAAATTTTATGATAAAAAATAAATATAAAAAATTGATATTAAATTAATAATTATCCCGACGACACTCGTTAGTAATATGAGTAAATTGATTACAATTTATTAGCTATAGTAATTAAAATAAAATATTAAAACTACTAAATTTTATATACATGACATATTAACTAACCAAAAGACTAGTATATATCTTCAAACCTAAACAAATTAATGCATAATTATTAAATAGTATTTTATCATTTTCGTTATTAATATTAGTCATGTTAATTAAACCTTGATTCTCAGCTTATGATAGAATATTGTGTACATATTTGTCGAAAACTTTGGTTGTTTCCCTGAGTCATTAATTAACCAAATAAATTGTATGAAATAATTTATAATATAATAGATAAAAAACAACTTTGTAAGAAACAGGGGAAACACGGGTGTTATGGGTATGTCATCACACGGTCCCACATAAAAGAGAAAGTCTAGATATATGAAGCGCATCATAAGCAGAGGTTTCATCCCAAATTCATTTGTGGTAGGAGACGTAGCCCACTAGACTTATAAATTAGGTTTAATTTCGTTATATAAACGATGTGAGACAATTCACAAGTGATTATTCTAATAAATTTGTGTATTATTTTGCTTTAAATTTAACCAAGTTATATATACATTTATAATATTTTGTGACAATTATATATACATTTATAAATGTATTAATATTTACCAGTACTTCCTACTCCTCGTGGATCACCATACCATGTTGCTACTCCTTGTGAGAAGCCACTATAGTCAGAAGAATTTACTAATTTCAAATTTATGCAAAAACAAGTTGGATTAGTTATGAGAAACAATGTGACAACCAGAGTCAAAATGTTGGAAATTAAATGAGGGAACATGGTGTGTACAAAAAAATAGTCTAAAGAAAAATATATGACTTATGTTGTGGTGTACATAGATGCATTTGGACTAAACTATTTATACTAGTGAGGAATGATATACTTACCATATTAAAATAACAAAACAAATAATTTTATTGCATGCATATAATTAGATGCAGAATTTGATTGTACTAAATTAAAATTATATTGAGTTAAGTTGATATGAAATTTTGAAATCAACATAGTCAAAATTCTTGTGCTCGCAATTTGAGAAGGAACCAAAGTTAGATTATGAGAACCATTCCGTTGGGGTTTGTAACTTTTTAGATCATGTAACCGTCAGGGATAGTTGATCTAACGGTTATAAACCCCGATAAAATAGTTTCGCTGTAGCATCTCTCTATGATTTATATGACAAACATATGGTGTGGCAAAATTAGTTTTTTAGTTCCTTAACTGGTTTTTTTTTATTATTATTTTTTTTATTTTGGTCCCAGTAAAGATCCATTTTTGAAAATGGTCCTCTAGGTAAAAAAATAGTTTTTTGGTCCTATAACCGCCTGTAACAGTAAGTCACCGCGACCGGCACGCCTACGTGTAATTTCAATTAATTTTTTCCTTTTTTTTTTGCTGTCGTGGCAATTAGGTGGCGGAATTATAAAAAAATGACCAAAAACCAAGATTTAAATTCTGGACCTCTTGCAATAAAATAGGAGCATTAGTCACTTGATCTACAACATTTTATGTGAAATACTTGACATCGATTATATATCTATCAATATCGTTTTATTAAAAAATTAATAATAATAATAATAATAACTAAATTTATGTCACTTTTAATTATAAAACTTATCATAAAATATTTATAAAATATGTAGTAATTGCGAAGGTAAATTGTTTAAATTAAATAAATAAGTAATATTATATTATGTAATTACCTAATTTAATAAAACATTTATTACCATTTATGTTGTTTTTAAACTAAGTTACCTTATTCAATTTTAAATAATCTTTTTTATATAATATATAAATATTTACTAAATTAATAAATATATCAAATTATATAAATAAAAATATTAAAATATCGAATACTCTTTAACATATTAAATAAATAAATATATTAATTATTATTTAAATATATACATTACATAATATATTTAATATATATTAAATAAATATACTAAATAATATAATATTATTTAATTATTTATTGAATTTACTCATTTTTATTTTGTAATTAATTCATATTTAATAAATAAACTATGTTTAATTTTGTAATTAAAAGTGGTATAAAATTAATTATTATTTAATACCACTTTTTATTATAAAACTTTTACATAATTTAGTAAGTTATCAAACTTTGATTATTTTCGAGTAATATTAGACGATAGACAAACATATATTGAAACTTGAATATTGACCAACTTGAGCGTACCTATCACATATTCATATAAAAGACTGAGTGAGGCATATACTTATAGTTTCGTGCTTGAGAGTTGTCATTTCAAGGTCAAGTTAATAATTGAGGCATGTGGTCTTACGGTCATTGGAATTCGACCCGGTTAAGTTGAACAATTTGAGGCTCTTCGTATTTGAAACCGTTATCCATGCTTGTGTCTTGTTTTCCTTTTTGTTCGGGACGAACAAAGGTTTAAGTGTGAGAGAGTTGTTTGTCTCATTTTTGTTGCGTTGTATGTTATTGTTTTGCCTTTCTATTTCTCCCGTTTAAGGAGTTTTCTTTGGTTTCTAGTCAATTTTGTGGTTTGTTGCGTGTTCTCTTTTATTTTGGGTTTCTCTGCGTTTTGTCTTTGGTTTTTTGTCCATATTGCGGTTTGTTGCGTGTTTTCCTTTATTTTGGGTTTTTCTGTGTTTTCGTCTATGTTTCCCAATTTTTTTTCGCATTCTTGTCATTTTTTAGTGTTGGGTGAATATGATTTCAAGGAGAAATTGGTCGTGGAAGAAAGAAAAAGGGAAGAAGAAGAAGAAAAAGAGTAATGAGTATTTTTGTTGTTTTACTGATTTTATGAAAAATGATACATCATCCCACCAAACCAATTTGGTGGGAGATATGATGATAACATTTTAAGGGATATTGGTCTGGGCCTATCTCAACTTTCATGGCTGAGAAATGCTCGACAGAACAACTTAATCTTCTTCATATAATACCAACTGACAGGATATCACGCCCAATACTGACAACCAAACACGGTCTTAATGTAATAGTACTGTGGGCCAATCCATTCAACTTTATTTCTATTTTATTCACTAAATAAATGCCCATTAAGTGAGCCCGACACGTGAGCCCAACTTTTAAACAAACAAAAGAGGCCCAATCCTATCCCGGGCCATGAGAAGGCCTCTAAATTTTCCAATCTCTTTCTCTTAAAAACAATCAAATAAGCTAAATTTCAACATATTGCGCCCTCTCACGCGCCGGAGAGCCACATCGGTTTCTGCTTCTTTCTTCTTCTTCTTCGCGACGCTCAACCTCCGCCGTGTGTTGTTGCTGGATTTTCGCCGGCCATCTCCTCGCTCTATTCTCTCTCTATATTTGTAGTATATCTTTCGCTTTTCCTTTTCCCCTCATTTTTTTTCCTCGTTTTCTGTTTGGGATCGGCGTCGGCCTTGACCTGTCTACCCTTGCCGCCGACCGCCGTGTGTCCGTGAGGACACCGTGAGTCTCCACTGAGCTACGGCAATCCCAAATTCGAGTTCTTCATATTTGATTACGCTCTGTAAATAACTGATTGTATCACTACACTTTGGGCTTAACTTTGAGCTCGTATCTCAAATTTTCTATTAATCTTCCCCACTTTTCGGGGTCAATTTTTTCCTTTAGAAATAGCTGGGAGAATATTAGTGAACAATTAGAAAATAAAGTACACGAGATTGAATCACAATCATGATTTCGTGTGTAGTTTTTTTGTTGATTCAATGAGAAACCAAGTCCTTTGATGGCCGGCAATCCTCAGTCTCAGCATCGTTGCGTTTTTGGTAAGTAATTTTCTACCTCCTGCACTGTATTGTTTGAATTACTAAACGTGATTTTTTTTTTTTTTTTCATATTCAACACCATAATTGCTCAAATTAATGCCTTAAGTTTGGTTTTTAAGATTTGGAAACTCAATCTCATGCGAAGTCAGGCTATATTTCTGCAGTTGCTCTTGAGATAGGGATTGAAAAATATGATGTTAACTAATCAATGTTGGTATCTGTGTATTTTAGTTGGGAATATACCCTATGATGCTACTGAAGAACAACTTGTTCAAATATGCGAGGAGGTTGGTCCGGTCGTTTCCTTTAGGTGAGTTCTTTATCTTCTTTACGGTTTTTTTCCCCTATCAGAGTTCGGAGAACCTATAGTTGTATTCAAGTATATAGGGCTGATTGGATATGCCAAATGGCTTCCTCTTTAGGCCAATCTACCAGAAATCGCATCCTGTAGGAGGACATAAAGTGTGTCCTTTTAATGCCCAACAGGCTCTACCTCGTACCCACATTTACATTTTTGTCTCTGGTTTTCTGATGTGCAGAAGATCTGAAAGTAATAATTTGATGCCAATATGTTGTGATTTTGGTCGCATGATGCCAGAATTACTTATGTTAATTGGTTGAATTAAGTCATCGATATGTCATCATGTGTCTGCAAGCCTGTAACAATAAGGATATTTGAAGACATTAGTTTGAGTATTCATGAAAATGGGAAAGTAAGCAGCATCAGATTCTTGCACGCTAGTGCAATATTTCAGTGTTCTGCGGATGTTTAAATTGTTTAAATCGGGTTAATAGAGTTTTAGGTGATTGTATAGCAGTTTTCTACTGAAACTATGACTAGATATTTACATTATGCGAGGTAGCAGCACGTTCACAAATTTCTTTTCCAGCTAACAACAGTCAGTTCTGTTCAGCACTTTTTGAGAGCATTGTGCATATTACTATTTCCGATTGATTTTTTGACGTATTAGAACTCAGAATAAAGGGAAAGCGACAGCCATATTTACAAACACCAATTTGTTACTTGGTTGTAAAACATATTAAGTGAACAGTTTTTGACAAATAAATGGTTATTGAGATATTTCTTTGGATTTAATCTTCTCTTTCAAATTATCATTGTTCGCTGTCTCAGATTAGTTATTGATAGAGATACTGGAAAACCAAAGGGTTATGGGTTTTGTGAGTACAAGGATGAAGAGACTGCTCTAAGTGCTCGTCGTAATCTTCAGGGCTATGAGATAAATGGTCGGCAGCTAAGAGTTGACTTTGCTGAGAATGACAAGAATGCTGACAGGAATCGTGAACAGGTAAATTGGTTACTAATCATGAACATTATGCGTATTTAACTATAGAACCATGTTACATTCTTATTACTTAGTGTGGGATATATCAATACAAATGTATCGAGTGACTGTTTTATCTTATCTAGACAAAGTTTGGCTTTGCCGAACTTAAACTTTTTGTCTTGATGACAGTTCCTTCTCTTGCAGGGTCGTGGTGGTCCTGGTATTCCCTCAAATGTTGGTAAGTGAAACAATTGAAATTTATTATTTTGTATAAGAATTATAAAGGCACAATATTTTTATTGAGGTTTTAATCATTGCACTTATACAAGACTATACTGCAGATCCCTTAAAGCAATTGGGCGGTCCAGCTGGACAATCCAGTTTTCACCAGCCAATGGGTGATTCAGTTGCTGTGGCTGCTGCAACTGTCATGGCAGGAGCTCTTGGGTCTGGTCAAGTTTCTAGCGCACTCAATCAGATTGGACTTCAAAGTCAGCCCATGTTGGGAACTGATCCTCTGACTCATCATTTGGCCAAGTTTTCAAGGACTCAGCTGATAGAGGTTTTGTCTGCATTGAAGGTTAGCAGATACCTAGCACTTTTAATTCTATAAGTAATTATATATAAAATTTCTATCATTGACGAATCTAAAAATGGCCTCCGTCTATATCAAAACCGAAAGTTGCTACAACATATATGACAAATAATTTTTGGCAGTAATTGGCAGGTTACGAATAATATATGAATGCCGTTTTTGTGATGATCTTATTTCCCTTTGTTGTTTGTATGAAATTGATAGGTAATGGCTATACAAAATAAAGAACAGGCACGGCAGCTCTTACACGCCACCCCAAACTTGCCTAATGCTCTTTTTCAGGTTCTTATCGGCCTCTCGTTATTGCGAACATATTGGCTTACTGCCATTATCTTTAGTAATTGATTTATAAATAACTACTAATATTATATTCTGTGGATGTGCTTACACTTTCCAATCTTAGAAGTCCACTTTTCCTCTTTTTGTTCCTCATTGTGACCGCATCATGGATGGATGGATTAACAACATTTTAACTGACTTTAAATGCAGGCCCAAATTATGCTTGGGATGGTGTCCCCAGAAATGGTTTGTGATACATATCTATTTTTAAGTTTCCATCTTTTGGTTAAGTTATTTAAGTATGGTTAAAATTAGGTGATGGGCTGGGCTTTTGCTTAGTACCCCTTATTTGTTTTATTTAAGTAGTTGAATTAAGGTCTCTTAGGCATCCGAGAAAAGAGTAGAGGAGCCTTTGGCTTAGGCAGGAAAAGTCCTGATCGGCGTTCGCGCTTGGGGCAGGCTCGCCTGCAATTGTTTTGAGTTCTTCCCGTTCCTTTCGTTTTTAATTAATTATCAATTATAGTTTTGGCTTTCTTCTTGCAACCCGCCTTTCACTCTATCAGTTTGTCATGTTCATACAGACTTTTCTCATCCTTCATAGCAATATTTTTTGTAATAAAGTTTGATCCTTCTACTATTGTGCAGTTGCAGATGCCCAATATTCGGCAAGCCTCTGCTCAACAAGTTCACCCTGTCATGCAAAGTGCTCAGACTCTTCCGGGACTTCCTCCACTTCCCCAAAACAAAATTCAGTCAGATTTGCTGCCTTATGCCCATGAAAATCGAGTGTTGACTGGTGTACCAAACCAGAAAGCTGCAATTCAGCAACTTTCTACGCCACCTCAAATGCAACTTCCACAGTTAGTGCAGAACCAAGTCTTACAGCCACGTCCCAATTCAGCATATGATCACCCACTGCTTCAGAATGCAGGCCCACATACTTCTCTGATTATAAATCCACAGTTGCCAGCTGCAGGCTTTCAGGTCCAAACTTTACTTGCAAGAGTTGAAATATTAAACCAAAAAAGAGAAAGAAACATAAAAATATAAAAATATCTCTTTCCCTATAGCATTATAAATATCTATTTAATGTATTTACCTAGCTTTGTTTATTTCTTATCGAGTCAAAGCAACTATGGCTCCATTGGGCCCTTAGACGACTAACAGCATTCATAAATTAGTGTTTGGAGATGCTAGATTGAATAAAAATTGGTTAAATGTTTGGTGAATGTAATTGATTAAGGAATAGAATTGGGTAGTTCATGAATAATTAATGTACATGATTGAAAAATTAAAACCTATTTACTAACTTATGTTCGGCTGCACTTAGTCCTTTACATGATTGAAAAATTACAAACTATTTACTAACTTGTGTTCGGCTGCATTTTAGTCCTTTCATTTTTAGGGTTTCATTTGGTAAATTAGTAAACTTGTTGCAATTTTAGTTCAATCTTCGTTGGAGGACCAATTTTTATTGGAAATTAGGTGGATTGCTGATGTGGCACATGGATTTCACATTTTCGGGCAATTTAGAATGACATGGATGTGAACACCCACAATCGGATACCCCAGCCTATAGTATACCAACAAAGTTCCATATCCAGCCTGCAGTACACCACCATTCTGAAACTCAGTGGCCTCCATTCTTAGTTTTCCCATTTCTCTATCTACATTCTTTTCTTCCTCCAGCTTTTTGTCATAGGCTTTCAGCTTAGATCTATACCACGTAAGCTCGATTAATGGAACTGATGTTTGTCTGCAGTCAGAGGTCTGAAATGGGATAGAATGGCAGTATTTCCTCCAATTTCATACCTACATTGTGAAATTGGATGTTTAATCCTAATTGAAAAAAGTAAAAACACTCGGTCTCCACTGTTTTCATGGAATGATTTTTCTTGTCGGTTCGATGACTATAAAGTTTTTTCTTTTTAAAAAGAAAATATTGATGGGGGTTCTGGGGAAGAGGAGCGCCTCTGAGGCACCTTTGGCCGGAGGAAAGGCGCCGCCTTACCAATGGGGCCATCTCAGGCAGTGCCAATGCTGATTTCGCATCATATTTGCTGCCTCTTGCCTTGGCACGCCATGGTCACACCATTGCAGTGGCAGCCACATCGTAGGGTAGGTGATAGAAAGGTGAAAGGAAGAAAGCAGGGTAAAGAACAAAGAAAAGATTAGAAATAAATAAGAGAATAATAAAAAATAGTGGCTTGTTCTTGTTTGTTTCATTTTTTTCTTTCTCTTTTTTACTTTTGAAATTCCACAAGGATGTGGGTGGCTGCATCTTATTAAAAGCTGCTGGAATGTGAAATTTTCAAATTCGGCTTGCCACATCAGCAATCTGGCCTAATTTCAAGGCAAAATTGGTTCTGAAATAAAGATCGGACTTTAAGTGCAAAATTAAAACTTAGTGTACCAAATTAAAATTCCAAAAAATTAAAGGACCAAGTGCAATTGAGCATATTTGCTGGACAAAGTTGCGCTTTTTTTTTTTTTTTTTTTTTCGTAAATGAACGCACATGTGACAAATAATTATCTCATCGAGACTCTTGTTTGATGTTTACTTTGAGTTGTATTTATTTATTTTTTTCCCTTCATTTTAGTTTCTTTTACCTCTGATAGCAGCCTAGCTCCGCATCACCGTCCACCATGCTGGAAAATATGGATTTGAAAGGACGTGGTTCAGCTGTCATTGGGCAGTCAAGAGTTGTGAGTGGCACCACGGACCAAGCCAATAGAGCATCAAAATTGGTGAAATTGAATGGCGCACAAGCCTTACCTTCTTCACGGGCTGTAAATGTAGTCACACCATTCCCGACTTCCAATATACCAGGAAGACAAGCCCCAAGAGCAGAAGAGACTCTGAAATCTGACAAGCAAGCTACACAGGTAGTTGATTTCCATATAAGAATATTGTTTTCAAACCACCTTTTTCAGGAATTGTGTTTCCTAATCATGCAAACAGCATAATTATTCAAGTAACTGGATCTCAATGGAAAGGACTTGCTAATTGACGGTAAAATGGGCCACAGCTGAAAATTTTTTCAGTTTAGTTTAAAATATTTTGAATGAAAAAATATTTTTAAGATCCAATATATAAAGATAACAACTTTGTTAATAAATGACTTATGCATCTGTGGTATGAAGCAATCTGCTATACTGAGAAGGACAAATGTTACACAAAATTTCTTTGAAATCAAGTCGACATTGATGCTAGACTTTTGGTTTTTGGGAATAAGCCACCTCGTATTTATGTAATTTTTTTTCCGTCATTATTACTGTGTTGTCAACAATTCTCTTCACTCTACAGCTACAAGTCCCTTCAGATGTCGATCGAGCCTTGCTTCAGCAAGTCCTGAGCCTAACGCAGGAGCAGCTGAGTTCCCTGCCTCCCGATCAGCAGCAGCAACTGATCCAACTCCAGCAAATGCTTCGGCAGGCGACATAGCTTATGATGTTTTGGTGTGGACTATTTGTACTCCATATACAACATAAAGGTCACACCATCTTCGTTTAATGTCTTTTTCAGAGGAAATGAAAAGGGCTATATCTTTAGGTGATTTGCATATTTTTTTAAAGTGAGTATGTCCGTCCTTAGATGTATGCCCGCGAGTTGTATTCATGTAACATTAGGAGAAACATATAAAAAAGAAAGCCAATTTTTGGTTTTTGATTTCATTCGACTGTCTTACGGTTTTTGTGTTGGCATTTGATCAGAAATGACGTGCTTGTTGAACTCCAATGATGTTTTTCGCGATTTTCTTCTTGTCTTTGGCATTCGTGGTATTTGATACTGAAATTTGCTGCCTCCGGTAGTTTGTATGAAATATCACCACTTTGGTTAGCAATTATGAATATATGTTATCATCCAAAGAAGCATAGATGCCGCAGAAGTTTATAATATTTATTAATCCGTTTAGGAATTTTTTAGATTTGTATAGTATGATATCTTGTGTGTGGAGCTTAGGCACATTGACCTTTTCATACACTTTAAACAAAAATGAATTCTCGTACTATTAAATGTCATACTTTTATTTATATTTTCTTATTAAATTATAACATTTTCTAATGAATATATGAATATTTATGAATATTTGTGAAAATAATATGTCGTCTAATGGGTTATATACAAACTTTTTAAAAAAAATAAGTATTTTAAGAAATACTTGAAAAATAAAACAAAAACTTCTATTATTCATCATTTTGTTTTTTTAAGTATAAATTTCTTAAATAACTAATTATATTGGTGCATATATGTATTAAGAACTACAAAAAAATGTAATATTCTAACGGAAAATATAATGATAACATATAACACATTAGAAATTTCAAACGATATTTCAATGATATAGGTTATGTTGGAATAATTTCATCGAAAATATTTTGTTGGAATGAGTTTTTCATTCAAATTTTAGATGAAATTCGATCATTTGCAGTGATGTTTTTTTAGCTGTGCATTTTCGTGGGTTGTAGTTGTAATCTTGGTTTTTTGGTTTTGGTTGTAGTAAGGACCGAAGTGGTCATTTACGGGAAATCCTATATGGTTATCCCCCTCATTTCTTTTCAGTCAAGACGTAGAGAATTATTAGTAACTCGTTGGTTACCGATGTACTGTATAAAACTGAGTTTTAGTTAATGAATTTATTGTTTGAGAACAGAAAATATATTTATGTTACAACTTCTCGTTGAAACCTCATATATTTGTAGTGAATTGAACTATACATTAAACCCACGACATCATAGGTATGCATTAACCATGAGAGAAAATGACCCCATCCACAATCAAGATCACTTTTATTTTCACATATACTAATCTTATTTTTTTTTTTTTTTTTTTTGTATTTATACCAATACCCTAATTAAAATACTCCCCAAAATTATGAATGACAAAAAAAAAGGCCCGCCTACACCATTTTCTCCCTGTATCCAAAACATCTCCATCCTCGTATAATTCCTCTCTGCCTCCACCATCGCACGCACCGTGGATCAGTTACTAGATGACGTAATCTCATATTAGCAATGGCGAAATTGGGGGAGGCGACAAGAGGTGGATCACATAAGACCGCCCCGATGGCGCCAACGTGCACAATTGGCACTAGGTTGAGACCGATTGCCTCGAGTGGCCAAAGATTCCGACGGAACTCAGTGGTTTTGTATCATGTGCGTTTGTGCATGTGTCGTTGTGTGGGCGTGTGTATTTGTGTGCGTGTGTGTGTTGGTGGTGATGTGGCGTGTGTTTGTGTGTGTGTGTGTGAGTGTGTGTGTGTGTGTGTGTGTGTGTGTGTGTGAGAGAGAGAGAGAGAGAGAGAGAGAGAGGTTAGGTGGCAAGTGGGCTTAATGTGTTAGTGGTTGTGTGGTGACGTGGGTCCCACTGCTTTGGTGTGAAAAAATACCACATTACATTTAATGAAAATATAATTTTAACTTTTTTTTTTGCACCACATCACCTGTTCTAATGGTCAAGATGTATTATTATTTCTTTCATTGCGCATCATTCTCACTTGAACTCAACCCTATAAATATATAATCACAATTATAATTGTATATAAAATATGAAGAAAAATGTAATGTTCATTATATTTCATATTTTCTCCACAAACTCATCATCACAATTTAAATATAAAAACCATTTATCACACATTTTAGACTTGGAACTTTAATTCATATATTGAAACTTCTTGCCTAAGAACACATCTATTAGATTATAAAGGAACCTAACTTATTATTCCCTCATTGGTCTCGTGTGGAACAATGTATCTGGTTCGTTACACATCATTTCGAGTATTGAAACTTCTAAACCCAAAGTATATCTATTAGATTAGAAGTCAACCTAACTTATTAGTCTTTTAGTGCTCAAATGATGGAATATCTTCACTCATATATTTTTAACTATAAAAATCATTATTAATTAATATTTTATTATTTTTATATTATAAAAATAGTAATATTTACATTACTATCTTATTGCATTCTCAATCTAAAATATTATTATTACTTTTTTTTTAAATAAATAAATCTTATTCATTTTTATATCTCTATTGTTTGGACTCCCCACCTTAGGTTGCCATTGGTATAATTTTCATTTTAAAATTGATTTCACTGAAAATGATATAATTATTTACTTTTTTAAATTTGTTTCACTGAAGATGTTAAAATTAAAAAAAAAAAAAA